GCTAACCAGAGAGGTCGACTGGAGGTTGGCCAATGTGACACCCATCCACAGGATGGGCTGAAAGGAGGATCTGGGGAACTAAGGCCTGTTGGCCTGACCTTGGTGTCCAAGAAGTTTATGGAACAGATAATCTTGAGTGTGATCACATGGCACATACAGGCCAACCAAGGGATCAGGACCAGCCAGCATGGGTTTGGGAAAGGCAGGTTCTGCCTGATCAATCTGATCTCCTTTTGTGATCAGGTGACCCACCTAGTGGATGAAGGGAAGGCCGTGGATGTTGTTTGCCTTAAGTACTTAAGGACTTAAGTAAACCTTTGATACTGTTTCCCACTGCGTTCTCCTGGAAAAACTGACTGCTCATGGCTTGGACAGGTGCACTGTTTGCTGAGTTAAAAACTGGCTGGCTGGCCAGGCCCAGAGAGTGTTGTTGAATGGTGTCATATCCAGTTGGTGGCTGGTCACTAGTGGGGCTTAGTGTTGGGGCCAACTCTGTCTAATATCTTTATTAATGATCTGGATGAGGGAATTGGGTGTACCCTCAGTAAGTTTGAGGATGACACTAAGTTGGGTATAAGTGTTGATCTGCTGGAGGGCAGGAAGGCTCTGCAGAGGGATCTGAACAGGCTGGATCGATAGACTGAGGCCAGTGGTATGAAGTTCAACAAGGCCAGGGGCAAGGTCCTACACTTTGGCCGCAACAACCCCATGCAGTGCTACAGGCTTGGGGAAAAGTGGCTGGAAAGCCGCCCAGCAGAAAAGGACCTGGGGATGTGGTCCGATAGCCATCTGAACAGAAGCTAAGAAGGCCAATGGCATCCTGGCTTGTATCAAAAATAGTGTGGCCAGTAGGACTAGAGCAGTGTACTCAGAACTAGTGAGGTCACATCTTGAGTACTGTGTCCAGTTCTGGGCCCCTCACTACAAGAAAGACCTTGAGGGGCTGGAGTGCATCCAGAGAAGAGAACAGAGCACAAGTCCTGTGAAAAGCAGCTGAGGGAGCTGGGGTTGTTTAGGCTGGAGAAAAGGAGGCTCAGGGGAGACCTTATCACTCTCCACAACCACCTGAAAGGAGGTTGTAGCCAGGTGGGGGTCAGCCTCTTCTCCCAGGCAACTAGTGACAAGAAAAGAGGACATGGCCTCAAGCTGCACCAGGGAAGGTTCAGGTTGCATGTCAGGAGGAATTTCATAATGGAAAAGGTTATTAAACATGGGAATGGACTGCCCAGGGAAGTGATAGAGTTACCATTCCTGGAGATGTTCAAGAAATGACTGTATGTGGCACTTAGTGCCATGGTCTAGTTGGCAAGGTGGTGATCCGTCAAAGGTTGGACCTGATGAACTTAAAGGTTTTTTCAACCTAAATGATTCTGTGATAACTGCCTTATGCTAAGTATTGAATTGATACCTACTATTTTTTCAACTATCTCTGATGTCAGATGGGCCAACCACAGATGAAGAATCTCCCAATATCCACTAGATCTACTTAGAGTAACTAAAGAATTAAAAGAAGACTGCTCTTCTGTCATTTTCATAAATATTTTGGAATTAATTTTCTCTTTCAAATGTGATTTCTAAGGGCAGATGTGCACGAAGTTGCTCCCAAGTAGCTAAGCTCTAAATAAGAGTAATAACTTTAAAAAAAGAGTACTTTGCAGAGAAAACTTGCATATTGCTAATGCAAATGCTTGAAGTGTAAGCGTAAGTCTGAAGCTTGTTTTAAAAAAATATCTTTTGGAAATGTTACCTTTTCTCATAAATTAAATAAAATCAGTGTTATTATGTGATATTAAATTAAGATCCTACTGTGCTTTTCCTATATATGACCTGCACTTCTAGCAGTTATGAAAATGAACACTGATGTTAGGACATGAGTATGTTATCTTTTCCTTCTCTCAGGCAGAGCTGTTGTCTCTTGTTTTTTTTCAGAAAACGTGCAGTGAACACAATGAAATAGTAGTGTTTTCCAGGTTTAATTTCCAAGTGGCAATGGGGAACACAGAAGCAATATTCAAAAGTACATCTTCCTATTAATTTATCCAATTTCTTAATATTTGGAACAGGGGGTGAAGCAGAAATAGTAGAATGAACTGCTTGGACGTGAAAGAAAAAGGAATGGGTCTTTGATTAGAAAACTGCTCAGAGCAGAGTATTTCCTCCAGAGCTATCCTAGGGCTTTGGCAGAGAGTTTTTCCTGTCTACAGAATTAAAATGCTTTGCCCATCTTGTCATTATTCATTATAATTTTTGCCTGTTTTGGGAACCACTATATAGTAGACGATCACTTCTTAGCACAGTGAGCTCTCTTGCCTTCAGGACACATACACAAGTATAGAGGATTTGGGCAAACTGCATTCCCTGGCTTGCTGCCTGTTTTGTGTGTTTGAGAAGTGCTTCACAGGCACTGAAACAGGCGTGTATTATCCTTCTACAGTCAGTATTTAAGTGACATGCTTTTTCAACTCAGCATACCCCGCAAAACTGGAAGGCTTTACATTTCTTTAGAAAAGAAGATTAATGCTGGTTAGGAGGATGATATTAATTTGAGATGAGAGGAATAATTTTAGCTACTAGGTGAAAAAGTGAAGATGACATAATCCTTCAGCAAAGGAACTAAGTAAGAGTAGCTGCAAGGACTTTTTTTTTTTAATAACAGTAAGCACTATAGAAGAGGCCAAACTCTATTTTCAGATCTTCACTAATTTGTCAGAGAAATTTGCTCTGAATATTTAAACTTGTGTAATCTTATTCCCAGTGCTGCATATTTACGGATTTCTGGAAAAACGGTTCAGGTGTCCTGGAAAATGTAAAAGAATGTTTAAGGAAACATTGAAGCATTCTTAATCTTGAAATTTTTACTGACCAGCTGTAACAGTGCTTCCAGAAATATTTGCATCAGAAGTGCCTACAGAAAACATTTGAAGTATAGAATTTGAAGGGGGAAGTAACCTGAGGAATCTGTGAGCTTTCTGTTTTTTTCTGGGTTCTACTCCTCTGGTTTTGAGGTAAGGTAACTGTAGAGCCTCAATTCCAAATAAACTCTGGGTGGATGAATGAACAAGGTTTACGTTTAATTATGTTGAAAGCTGATGTTCAGGGGACAGGCTGGGAAAATCTTCTTTTATTAGAAAACTACTTGTGTCAGCGCAGATAAATAACAAGAATCAGAATTTCCCATTTGGAAATTGCTTTTCATCTATTTCTGCAAATAATTATTAATTCAAGTGAATACAGATGCATGAACAAGGCTGAAGCCAATCAGCTCTGAAACTTATGGTATTCCTTGTGGTTTTTTTCCAGTCTGGCAATCTGTGTAGTCAGTCCATAGTTAATGTAAAAGCAATGACTTCACATTAAAAGTATCCTGAGTTTATGTAGGAAGGTATCATTTATGGGGACAACACCCTCTCCGCTCTTTTTTTTTTTTTAAGCTGTAAACTGTGACTGGAATACAGATGACTACTTTGCAAATAACCATATTGCTAAGAATGTAAAATAAAAGCAAAAAAAAAAACAGGTGAGGCAAGCTGACTCTAAGTCCTTCCATGCCAGAACAAAATTAAGCTACTAATTCTGTTTGGGGAAGAAAGCTGGTATTAAGTTTGCTGGATTATTCAACATCTGTTTAGTGTGTATCTCATCACTTAGCGTGATGTTATGCAGACTCATTAGAATTCTAGAAGAATGACAACTTTAAAAGTTAAAATATCACAGTGCATTGAAGCAGACTTTTCCTCACTGTTGTTCTACTTACAATTTATTTCACCAGCTTAGAGGCTGAGCAGGAGATATGTTTGAGGTTTGATTTACATGCAGCCTAATACTCTTTTCAGCCTTTCAGCTGTCTCTAGCATGAATGCACATATCTTTTGTGAGTATTTGTATCCACATTGGTTTTGATCAGCAATTTCTCAGAAAATGGAAAACTTGCAGAATGGGTGTGAATTGTACTGTTTTATTAATTTCTATCATATACTGAGAGAAAAAAAAATTGTACATAATATTCCCTCTTTTTAATACAGCTTTGGGACGATTTCCTTTCTTCCAAAAGCTATGGTGCCTGTTTAAAAGAAGAGTTGTTCAACCCTGACAAATTATACTCCAGAAACCATGGGCAAACTATGATGATGAAATACTGACCACTTTGCATAATTCATCTGGACTTATGTTATTTCTGCTCTATCTCCTAGAGGTTAGAGAACTTATTTAATTTTGTATCAAAAGCAAGTGGATAACCACATTTGAAATACATAATCTTTGCAGCTAATAAATGAATCTTATGGAGAACTGAAAGAACCAGTGTTGCTGCTACTTCTATCAATACTCATTATGGAAGTATAGGACTGATCTAAGAGTGAGAGAGAAAATGAGCAAGCTTTTGTTGTCTCATAGCTGGTGTGAATCCAGAAGTCTTGATACAGAGATCCCGGAAACTTAATTTATACATAATTTTCCATTGACTCTTCTGTATTTTGACTGCTGATCTTTTCACCTCTGTCACAGCAGACTTTTTTTAACATGCCTTGCATTATTGAGCTCTTCTTTCTGTAAGTAATGTTTAAAAAATGGAGAGAAGGATCTTGAAAAGCACTTTAAAAATGTAATCATTTGTTTTATGATACTTATTTGGATTAACTTCATTTTATTCTAGTTCTGATATTTAACACTGTTAAAAGAACTTAATGTTATGTTCTCCATGATGAAGAATCCCTTAAATAGCTATAAGTTAAGCATATTTTTTTGTATGTCGAGGTGCGCCTTTTATTTTTTTTGTATTTCAAGGTGTGTCTTTTCATTTCTTTGTGTTACTTTGTGGCTTTTATGAATTACTGTTTTCATGACCACTCTGCTCTGTGTGGTTAAACATTTTGAGTGCCCTAGCTAGAAGCAGGATGTCAGCCTGTGTGAATGTGATATTAGTGAAAGTGAAAATGTTGCTTGTGGGGTGTGTTTGTTTCTGTTACATGCAACAAATTATTCCTTAATGGTACCAATTCCAGCTTTGGTCGGCCAGGAGTTGAATGCTACTGCCAACATGATAGTGGAGCTGCAGTAATCCAGCTTCAGTTCCTGATTAATGAGGTTAGTAAAATGATGTATGTGTAATTCAAAGAAGATACAGAATGTATTTTCTTTAATTTCTCATTAAGTAAACATAAAAGTTAGCTAATACAAATGACTTAGCATGAATGACAAACAGTAAAAACAGTTATAAATAAATTAACTTTTTTAGTTTTAGAAAATGCTTGACTAACTGCTGAAAGTATCTTTATCTCTAGAGTGCTCTTTTTTGTAATAAGCAAGAACTTCATAGGAATATCTTTTCATGTTGTTGAACATTGCAACTTATCTGTAGAAGTGGTAAAGTACTTTTTCAATAGTACTACCAGTTTCACTAGGTAGTTCATTTTATTTTGATAGAGTTACTGTTTTAGACATGAGCTGAATAGTGTTCCCTCAAGTTCAGGTGTGTGTTTATAGGGATGTAGCATCTGACATCTGGCAGCAGTGCTGTACTTGAGCTAGCTAGGGACAGATTTGAAGAGGGACATCACTAGCTTTGTCAGTACGTAGATATTAGCAGTTGAGTTCGTTGCTTGATTTCTTTACAGACATGGGCATGAGGGAATTGATGTGCACACACTGGAAAAAGCTTCTTCCCCATCACCTCTCAGTATAGCACTGAACCAAATATGAGCAAGCTAAACATGTGATCGCATCAGTTACCTCATTCCTACTATATCCTACTTATAATTTTTTTTCATCCTGGTGATAAATACGTGATATATTTCCCCTGTGATGATGTGCTGTTACTAGGGATATGAAAACAAGTTGACTAAAACTTTTTATTTTTCATAGGGAGCTCTTGTGAGTGCCTTGGCTGATGATACCTTACACCTGTGGAACTTGCGTCAGAAGAGACCTGCTATACTTCATTCACTCAAATTCAACCGAGAACGGTAGGGATTGGGTTATTATTGCCTTGCCCCTTAGTGTCACACTACGTGCTATTGTAAGATCAGATTTATTAATGCAGTCCAATTCATAACTTCTTAAATAATTGAAACTGGATTTGCGCTGGGCTTGAATTTCAGTCTGTTAGGGCCAATAGTACTTTTAAGTCGACACACTAGTCACCTCAACTGAGATGATTTTTCTATTACTTTGCATATTGCATTGTTGAACATCAGTTTTCACATCTTTAAAATGTGGAGGGATAGAATGTTTGAATGTATGTCTTCAAAGTAATTTTGGAACAAGAGGAAGTGTATGCACCAAGAAGACAACAGGAGTACTAGTTCAATTTTTTACCTGGAAGTTTTTCTCCCTTGATGACAAGTTGAAGTTCTGCAGTGTTAGAGCTCCTGTGTGTGTCAGAGAGGCTGAAAACAACTTACATTTCGACTAACACATTTGAGACTCAAGTAACAGCATTTTAAGCATTCTAGAGAGACTTTTAAGATTAAACTTCTAAAATTTTGCTGATTAAATGTCTGGAAAAAAAAAGTCCTCTTTTTAATTGCAAGTAGTACTTCCTTTTTAGGAAGTAGCCTTTATTTTCCAGTATGTATAAAGTCTCAACTGGAATGCTGTGTTTGTTTTTGAGGAGTATGCATTAGAGATGGACTGCTTGGGGAGCTCAAAGGATACTAGCAAGAACACAGAATAATCTGTGACTTGTATCTCTGTTGAATAGAGCAATAAGTAATAAGCTTTAAGTAATGGATAGCAATAGAAAGAGGTAAGTTAAATACTTATATAATACCTTCTAATGTAGTGTCGTACATAGTGCTAAACAAACTGTTGGTTGGGTTATGTAGTAACTTTGTAGTTTTAAAGAGCAGGTTATAAACAGTTTGTCAGAAATAACATAAATGCAGATTACTGGGTTTTTTTGGGGTAAAGGACTAAGTGATTCTAAGTCCTTTTTGAAGTTGTTTCTAAGATCACAGTGCATAAACTTCTTAATGGGGTCTTTAGGGATAGGACAGGGGGTAATAGCTTTAAACTGCAAGATTTAGATTAAGTATTAGAAAGAAATTGTTCACTGTGAGGATGGTGAGATGCTATAACAGATTGCTCAGAAAAGTGGTGGATGCCCTATCCCTTGAAGTGTTTAAGAACAGGTGGGATGGGCTTTGATATTCTGAAGGATGTCCCTGCCCAGAGCAAGTGAATTGGACTAACTGGTATTTAAAGGTCCCTTCAGACCCAAAGCATTGCGTGATTCTGAACTGTTATACAGAAAACAGAAAGCTTTGTTGACAGTGCAAAATTCTTTGCCCAAGGGAGCGACAACGTTCCTTTATGAAGCATAAAAGTCAAATGGAGAGAAATGCAATTTACAACCGCTAGTTTAATGTGGATTGTCCAAGTGTGGGAGATAGTGTATCCAAACTGAATTTTCTCCCTCTCCCTTCCTTTTTTTTTTTAAATGACTTTTCTCTTGTAGCACCTACTTAATTGTCAATATAAAATTATGATTTGCAGCCTGAAACATTGGCTTCTAACTAATGCTTTTAAACAGGTATCTGAGGAGGTGATTCTGATTGTGTGCAAATCTGTTGTAAACTGGCTTAGAGTTTTAGATGTATGGGTATCTTTGGTTAAGCAGAGTGAAAGTTTTTAACTGTCCTTTTTCTGTAAATGTGATGATGTCAATAGCAAAACCTGTCACAGGACTTGAACTGTGCCTTATCAGACACAGAACTCTTATCAGAAAGAGGAGTAGGGGTAGAAAGGATTCTAGGTCACTGATGTCACTTTAGTGGCTGTATTAGCTATTAATTTTGGGCAGAGGATTGTTTTTTTTCTGGGATAAGATTTACCTAAGATAGGTAATGAGAGCACCATAGTCACCATGAGTGGTGTCAGTATAGTTTGAGACAAGGGCTTATTCTTCTAGCAATTTTAATCTTGACATATCCATTACAATAACATATAAAAGTAGCCAGAACACTTAAGATCCCAGATCTGTACATTGGCATAGCCACTTAGGTCATGCTGGATGACTGTTAAGTGTTTTCAAATATTCTGTTTTCATTCAACTAGTTTATAGAATACAGCATTAAACAATAAACTCATTACCAGGAAATTATTTTGATTTGAACTTGAGAGAACTGCAAAAAATTCACTCTTGAATAATTCTAAAGAGATGCACTTAAACCACTAGGAGTTCTTAGTGATCAATTATACCTAATAGCTTCAGTATGTTCTATGAAATTGAATAAATGGGCTTTGCTTAGGTCAGTTATGATTATATTAACTACTAATTTTATTGAGAAGAGCATTCACGAATAAAACTGGGTCTTCTCTGTGAGAACACATCTTTAAGGGGAAGGAAGAACCTAAGATTCATAAATGCTCATTGGTTGAAAGGAACAACAAAAGTCAGAGGGTCCGCAAACAATCAGTTTTATTAGTAAATTACACAGTTAGCATGGAAATGGGTATATTAGTCCCTGACCAACTATATAAGCACATGGCTGTCAATTTTGGATATGGGGTAGGGTGAGAGGGAAGAGAGGAGTTAAAGAGGGAGAGATGAATTAAGAAAGAGGAAAAGAGAAAGAGAGGGGAAAAAGAGAGAATTAAAGAAAGAAAAAGAGGAGAAAAGATAGAAAGAGATCAGCAGTCATTCCAGCATCAATCCATCTGATGGCTTGTCAGTCCTGGTTTCAGCATCAATCCAGGTGATAAGTGTTGATCCAGCTGCTTCGATCTGGCTGTTGAGATGTCCAGGATCCTGGGGGCACTGCCCGGGCTTGGGGGAGTACCTTTTTATGAACAGGCTTCCCTAACCCAAAAATTGGTTTCGTGCTTTCTGTGTAAATTAGTTATCATGCATAGTCTGTTCTTTCAGGCTTTTCTGGAAATGGGTCAGAGGGCTTCAGGGGTCTTTGGTAGTCTTAATCTCACCCTACAGTCCATGTTCACTGCCTGCCACTCATTCCTGTGCTTGCACTGTCCTATGTTGTGGTTCTTTCTAAAGGAAAAGTGCTTCCGTACCTCCACCTGGCCCCCCTTCTCCAGCCAAATCTTATTCTTTCTCATGATGTGTTAATACCAATAGTCCTTGATTATTACCAACAATTCTTGTCTGTTAGTTACTAACAGTCCTTGGCTGGCTCCACAGCCATCTGGTTATCAGTGTTTGAGACATACACATTAGCCCCTTATCTTCTGGGAATTGAGAGCTCAAAAGGATCTCACTTTGGACTGCTATTTACAGGGTCATTAGAGAGTGGGCTTTAATATGCATTAACCTTTTATAATCAAGAGTTCAAAAGGGTCTCATTTTGGACCACTCCTTATAGGGTTGCGAGAGAGTGGGCTTTAGTCATAGTAATTTTCCATCCTGGCTGTTAATTGAGTCGGTAACTTTCTTTGAAGATTCAACAACAAAAATATTATTCTACTTGGGTTGTTAGTCACACAAGAAAAATAAATTTCCAAGACTATTTGTTGAAAACAGGTGCTCATTAAATACATGTTAGTTCCTGGGAACACCAGTGTTTCTGATAAGCTTAAGTGGGGCTTAGTCCAAGTGCACTTCATCAAGGCCGAGGCCTAATGAGCATTTCTCAGATCATAGTGTGGCCTGGGTGGGGGGAAGCAGGGAATGCAGCACCACAATCCATCCCATGACTACAGTCAACTTCTTTCGGCCTCTACATTCTCAATTCATGAGCACAAAAGTTGTTAGAAACCTAATTAATACAATTTTTGAAATATTGTATGTTGTGGGAATAATATCTGCTCATAAGGATAACTAACTTCTCGAACAGGAGTTATTTGAAGTAATAAATTCTACAACACAGGCTCATAACTATCTTCAGTAATGATACTTTGTCAGCTTGTGAAGGGAGATTAAATGTCTTGGAACTCTTACTATATGACTGAAGTAGTTATTCTAGTTGCATCAGTATTTGCTCTAGGAATCTGTAAATGCTAAGGTTTAAAATGATATGCCTGATTGGGATTACCTGGAAGTGTGTTGACATTGCAGAAAAGCAGTATTTGTGTCCTGTTTAAAAGGAGTTGAATTTCAACATGTCACAGGTGAATTTTTATTCTGATTTTATTTCTAAATCAGGATTTGTGTAAGGTTTAGATGTGAATTGAAAGATTGTAGCATAGAAAGTTAACTGTAGCAGTTAGCTACCCAGATGAAAGGATTTTCTTAGAATAGTCTTGAAAATTATTCTTGAACCATGTTTAAAGAAATTAATTAAAAAAGTAAATGATAAAGCTATGACTTATTAGTGAATGCTGTATTCTTCTGGCACAGCCTTTTACTAGCTCTGGCTAATTCCCTGCTTTAACCATATAGAAGAATTACTGCCCAATGTCTAACAACACTACTACTAGATTTCATATTTGCTTACCCTGTTAGTAATTGAGTTTGGCTACCTTGCTTTCAGGTCTTTTGAACATCTTTCAGTTAAGAAAAAAACCCCGGGTGTAGCTTGTTTATAAAAGCTTATGTCATGTATTTAAGTATTTTTGTATGCTTATGTGAAAATTGGAGTATTAAATCACCTGTAAATTATTTCAGAATGCAGTCTTTAGTATATGATAGGAAAGTAATGTGAACTCTTGTGTTTCTACTCATTAATTTTAAGAACAGGGAGTAGGGAAAGAGTTTCTTTTTGATATAATTTTATGCAATTAAAGGCTTTGTTTTGATCTGTGGAATATGTCTTCATTGGGTAACTTACATCTTCTTAGATCTGAGCAAAACATTTCTTTAAAAGCAGTGGCCAAAAGTCTTGAAAGATGCTGCTTTCTGTTGAATCATGAAATTAGTTGAGAATCTTTAGATAAATGGCCATTAATAGATTGATAAACTCCTGACTGTATTTTATAACAATGATGGTTAGTAATTTGAAGCAAGTCTTCTGAAGCAGGGATTGGTGAAGTTTTAGATGTATAACAAATCAGTTAGCTGAAATTACTG